ATCATAGATCAAACCCAGGTTGAAATGTTTCTCAATACTCACAGAGTAGCTACTTGAAGAAAACCGATGTTGTATGGAATCTCTCCAGTTATCTGATTGTAAGATACGTCCCTGTAAAATCGAAAGACATTAAGTCCACAGTACAGTTACTATGCTGGAAAACTATTTTTTATCTAAGAAGCAAACACATACAGGATCTCAAAGCTTGTGCAATTCCCAATGCTCTCGGGGATAGTTCCAGTTAGATTATTACCTCTCACATCACTTGATAACCAAAAACACAAATTAAAACTCAGACTTTCACAAATAAAAAGACCAAGAGCTACACAAAACTAAAAAAACGTCAAGAGTATAGGATCCACTTACAAATACCACAAACCAGTGAGCTGACACATATCAGAAGACAACGTTCCACTCAACAATTTATTCCCTTGCAAGTCTCTGCAATAAAATTAAAAAAATAGCCTTCAATAACTACTGAAACATTCACATAGAGAAGAGAGTAAACATTTACATTGATTGCAAGTTCCTTAGATCCCCAACAGCTGGAGATATCTCCCCTCCAAGGTTCAGATTCGATAGGTTCCTTAAAGAATAATAACCACAAAACTATTAAAAATCTGTAACACTAACAAGAGAGACATTCAAAAAGTATAAAAATAACTTACAGTGTGACAACAGAGAAGGTGAGGTTGTCACAGTAGACACCTCTCCAAGAACAAAAGTCATTATTGTGAACATCGTCCCAGTCCAAAAGCATGTTCACCAAGTTGCTGAATGAGCCCTTTATAGCCATCAAAGCTTTCCCTGTAAATTAATTAAAAACATTCTTTTTAGATAATAGTAATGAATAAGAATGCAAATCATTTACTTTATCTACCACACTCTTCTCTACATCTTAAAGAAAAATATATCAACAAGTCAAAGAGCTCAGGATCGTAACCAGTATAAGAATGCAAATCATTTACTTTATCTACCACACTCTTCTCTACATCTTCGAATCTTTCTCTTGATTCCGTAACAGTTTTTGCCTGAGAATGAACATCCATATAGTTCTAACTCTGTTTCTTCTTGTATCTAATATCATAAAGATCAACATTTAGTTTAGTTACCCTCTTCTCTGGCCTGGTCTCAATAGAGTTCTGCCTCTCGTCTTCCTCTCCTTTCTTCTGAGAGATTTGTGTCGGCTCTGTTTTATCATGAAAACCCACCGTAACTTTCTGGTAGCCATAGCTGTTTTATAACTTGCTTTCGGTCTACAGACATTAGGACATCGTATATATATTGTCAAGCTTTCCTAATGGTATGAGATTGACATATTTGGCATTGAATTTCCAACTTCTCACGCAAGTTATCGAATATAAGGTAAGGAAAGTAAATAACCTATACATTAAATTTTAGAGATACGATTCTCATATATAAATCGTAACACTTGCACGCCAAACAAAAAATAAATAAAAAAGAAAATTAAAATAAATCAACCAATCAGATTCTCAGAATTTCTCTGAGAAGGCATGTATGAGTGCCACGTGTCCAAGTGACTTCTCTTTTAATGTATAGGAGGACTAGGTTTAGGTTAAGATCCGCACAACAAAGCCTAGAATGAGCATAATATGTATATTTTTATAATATTTACAGGTTCCTATATTATAAAATAATAAATACATATTAAATAATTAAAAAAACGAATAACTATTACGTATATAATTAAATTGGTATGGATACATAATTAAAAATATTTACTATTATTTCTTTACCATCATTTTATGGTAATTAAACAATTAATGTCTTTAGTAACAATGTATAGTTTAATATAAACAATATTAAAATAAATTAATATTTTATTTGAATATCTATTAAATGAGACTTTCTACTTCTATAATTTATGATTATTTTTCTCTTATAAATATTAATTTATAAAAAAAAATTAAAGATATATCATCAGAAAAAATTATTGTTTTTTATATGTGATTGTTTAATTTATTCTAATAATATAAATTTGTAAAAATGATAGATGATACGCAAAATATTATCAAATATTTATTCAAAATCACTAATTATGATCTATATTTTAAAATCATATTAGGTAATTATGTAGCTTTTATTTAAAAAGAAAAAAGTAATTGTTATATATTATTAATTAATTCGATGATTAATTTTAATAAAAAAATATAGAAACTCTACGTTTTCATGTTTTCATGGATCTTATTTCTTGTTTACATTACTACTAGGTGATTTTCCCGTGCTCATGCACGGGTATAAATATTTTTAAAGTAAATATATGATGATAATTGATTACTATTTAATTTTAATTTTCAGTTAATTTATAATTTGTATGTATCATTTATATTAATAATATTATATTACTTTAATTATACTTTAATTT